GGAACGCTGGCACTCCGACTGAGTACCTCTGCCAGTCGATGCTCCTAGCGCTTGCTGAGCACTCCAACCGACACCATCAGCGCTGCTGACCCCACTTCCAGCAATGCAGCTGCGCCGGGGTCCCGCCATCTCTCACCCACCCTGGACCGAAGACCAGCTTCCAGTGGGTGCACCTCTCCTAAATCCAGAGAGCAGAAACCAGGAACAAAACAAGCTCTTGCAAGAGCTTACTTTGGGGAGCATGTGATTATAGCAATCCCCAGAGTGTAGTTATCCCACCCCCCAAGCATGAGCCAAGGCTTCAAGAAAGGGTCATGCAGTTCTGTTTAATCGGCACCAAAGGGCTTTCTTTTATGGAGGTCTTACACATACAGGACCGCCCACAGGGTTTTGAAGAACAAACCAATCAATACATTACAACACAGCTAAACACTCCCATTCATACCAGCAGAAATCCTCCACTCTGCCTGTGATACAATTATCTCAACACAATAGACTAACTTAATTATCACAGGCAAAATATATACAGTTTTACACAATATTCATAACTTTAAAAGTATACATCACATTCACATTCACACCTACATTTTCAGAATCAGCATACAAACATACTCAGAAATCAAGCAATTCCTTCCATTGGTTTAAAAGTTAGGTCGAAGTCCATTGTGATCACTGCAAGCATGGCTTTTCCTGCCCAAACCAGTTCCACAGAGTTAGGCTGTGTGAGATAAGTGGCTTAAAGGGAAACTCTAGTGCCAGGAAAACAATATGTTTTCCTGGCACTGCAGGTCACCTCTCCCTCCCACCCCCCAATCTCCGGTTGCTGAAGGGGTGAAAACCCCTTCAGTTACTTACCAGAGGCAGCTACATGTCCCTCGTTGCTGCTTCTTCCTCCGTGCCGCTCCTCCCTCTGATTGCGTCAGCCGGTGGGCGAGACTGATCCCGCCCACCAGCCGTGGAGACCTAATGCGCATGCGTGGCAATGCTGCGCATGCGAATTAGCGCTCCCCATAGGAAAGCATTGAAAATGCTTTTTAATGCTTTTCCATGGGGAAATGAGTGACGCTGAAGGTCCTCACACAGCGTGAAAACGTCCAGCGACGCTCTAGCACAGGTTTCCTGTGCTATAAACCTGGAAGTGCCCTCTAGTGGCTGTCTACTAGACAAATGGAGTGTCTACTAGACAGCCACTAGAGGTGGAGTTAACCCTGCAAGGTAATTATTGCAGTTTATAAAAAAACTGCAATAATTACGCTTGCAGGGTTAAGAGTAGTGGGAGTTGGCACCCAGACCACTCCAATGGGCAGAAGTGGTCTGGGTGCCTGGAGTGTCCCTTTAACTAGGTGTGGTAAGCCAACTATCTCCAGGTACAGAAAATATCCCTATTCACAACAACAGCAAAAATACACAAAAATACATAACTCCTATCATACTGTACAGAACCCCCACATTCAACCAATCCCCATATAGCTTGGATCTGAGCGCTCAATATCTCCAAACAGCGCTCAGATCGCACAACCACAGTCAAATCGCCATGGGGTTAAAGTTACAGCATGGGCTGATGAGAGGGGCCATATTCATGAGGCAAGAGGATAGCCATTAGTCCTCTCCAGTTAGAAGTGGCGAAGGGCACTTAGTCACAACCAGAATAACCAGAATCAATAATGCGCTCTCGGACAATCACAAGGGAAACCACGACAGGGCACTGAGCAAGAGGAGAACTGGACCTAAATACCCTGCCTGTGGATCTGATTGGTTGTAACTGGCGTTTGACCCCAAAGGAAGTTACCAGGTTCCTATTTGCATGATTGTTGCTCAGCACAAACCCTCCTGTGGATTGATTGCTGCTCGGCACAACTTTTCTTGTCAGGACAGTAAATGTCATTAATCACATTTTTATATGCGGATGTATAAGTGACAGACGGAGCCTGGCCCAGCACCGATTGACATTGGTGCTGGATTCAAGTAAGTGTCAATGGGTTTTTAATTCTTTTGGTGCTGCGGGCAATTTTATCCCAGTAGATTATGGGTTGCATATCGTTCAACACTCTTTTTTGAAGTAGTTATGGTAGTCATGGAATTCACGAAATAAGGATTTTTGACTGCTCTGAGTGACCAAATTTGGAAAGTTTGGTATTTACTGGAGATTGAATTAAAGAAACTGACTTTTCACTCTGTCTGAATAGATGTTGATCCTTTATTTATTATCTGAATTGCAATTTCATCTTGATTAAATAATTATCATTTTAAAAATCCAAATTTAAAAATCTATTTAGATTCTTCTCAACGCAATGAAAATCTGTACAGTATGAACACCAACGACTTTTCCTTTTTAAGTGATTACTATGATTGACTGTCAACCTAAGATGTATACATGTGTCTCCTGATGATGAAAAATTATCATTAATATCCAGCAGAAGGTTATTCTGTTGTTATATTCTTCAGTTACTCACATTTTAAATCTAGTTAACTTCACAGCAAGTATGAATTAATCACTAAAAAGGTGAAGTAGATTCTGTAGTGAGTACAGTTACTGTATGGCTCATGATGGTTACTATATTCACGAATTGACTTAGCTGTCTGAAGGCATGTTGGCTAAGGGTTTCTTTTTATACGGAATCCATTTTTAAGTGTAATAATTTCTACATTTGTTCTCTGAATTGATTTCACTGACTTTAAAGAATTTCCTGCGGATGTCTTGGATTGGCATGATTGGAGTCATACGTTGAGCTTAATGGTGTGACTTATACGGAAGGGAACACAATTCATGCCTTGCCTTTGAAATTTGGCTACGGAATCATGCCAATAAGTATCTCAATCTCCACTCATATTATTAGCATTTACCTATATAATACCGGGTTAGTTGCCTCATTATCCTACTTCAACTTGCTATTATTTTACTGGGATCCGGATTTATGGAGTTTCAGATTTAAACTATCTATACCTCCCCACACAGTCTTTTTGATTGCAATTTTTCTTAGTAGTAACTGCTGTCTAAACTAGTGATCTAATTGGTACAAATTCAATAAAGCCTTCTGAGACACTGGATACATTGTATTTATTTGACAAGCTGCTACTAATTTGTATTCATTATCCCCAATCTCTAAACTGGACTATTCAATCAGTTACCATCTGTGTCTATATTCATTACCAGGGTTTATTTTCCCAGTATCAGGAAGTTGTATTTTTATTATAATTACCAAAGGGACACTATTATCACAAACTACAGCTTAATGTAGTTTTCTGGTGTCTATAGCCTGTCCCCTGCAGGCTTTTGAACGTAAATACTGACTTTTTCAGAGAAAAGATACTTGTTACATTGCTGCGTAGTAACACCTCTAGTGACAGTAACTCAGACGACCATTAGAGGTGCTTCTTAATCCAGTGCTGCACAGTGTTCCGTTCAGTGTCTACACACTGTGCATGGAGGAGCTGTATGTTCCCCATAGATGTGCATTGATTCAATGCATCTCTACGAGGAAATTCTGATTGGCGCAAGACTGTGTTTTGCAGCTCATGTGCAATAGTCACTCAATCCTATCCTATAGGAAAGCATTGGCTGGTTGAGATCATTAGGACTGATGATCTCAGCTGTGGAGGTCGAGCCAACCACAGTGAGACCAGCATCGCGTGCGGAAAAAGGTGAGTAAAATCACCATGTGATCAGAGAGGAGCCGGTCACCTAAACAGACACACTCATTGATTGTCACACACTCACAGACAGACACACACATATTGACAGAGAGACACATACTCACTAACAGACAGCCACAGTAATACACTGAGACAGACACAGACACCAACTGACTGACAGATACACACTCGCTGACAGACACACACACTTACTAACATACATACATACATTTTCTCACACACTCAAAAAGTATTATTAATTTTTTATTTAAGTCCACCCAGCCTCCCTACCTTTATGAGAGCTGGAGTGGATCATTTCCCTGGGGTGCAGTGGAGCCTCTTGCTCTGCACTCACGCGCGCTGTTTAGTGATGCTGGGGCCGGAGTGACGTCATATCCCAAGACCCGGCATCAAAGCAGTACGTGGGAGGGAGCAGAGCAAAAAGAATCAGAAGATTTCAGCTCCCTTGCTGCCTGACTTCACTCTTGCTTACATGTCCTCCTCCACTGTCTCTCAGTCTGCTTGCCCCACTCACCGTCAGCCAACCAGTTCCATTCTCTCTTGTCGAACAGGCTGACAAATCACAGATGCCAGGACAAAAACAAATGGGTGGAGATGCTGAAATGTGATATTTTTTGGATAGAGGCCACTTGCTTGGAAGAGAACGTCAATGGATCTAGAGCATGAGCTAATCTGATAAGTCAGGGGTGCCCAAAAGTATTTACCCAGATATAACTTCAATTATGTGTTCTGTTATTATTGGTTGTTGCAACATTATGAGAGAGGCTGCCAAGTGTCGGTTCCTTCCTCAGATTAAGGGACATAATATCCTTCGCTTGTGTCACTATAATCTGAATATATCTACTGGAGTCATTCAGAGGTACCCTTCTCTCTTCATTATGCAGTAATTCTTTAGCTATACTGGATTCTCTCAAGGCCTTATTTAGTGCAAATGTCTGCATTTTCTGCACCTATAGAGATTGAGCAAGAATCTCATATCATCATATTATTATTGATATTATTATTACTATTTATATAGTGCCAACACCGCACCAATACACTACTACCAATACACATACTACATCACATACACTACAGCCCCAATGCATACACTCGCTACATTCCCTATACACACTATCCCAACATAAACACACACACTCTCACTATCTACAAGCCCTAGTACAAGGGTTCCCAAAAAATAGTTCCCTTGATGTTGTAGAACTACAAATACCATGATGCTTTGCATGCCTTTAGAATGGCAAAGCATCTTGGAAACTGTTTTACAAACATAGAAATATAGAATGTGACAGCAGATAAGAACCATTCAGCCCATCTAGTCTGCCCAATTTTTTTTTTTTTACTTTTTTTTTTCAGTTTAGGCGTACTTTGCTCTGATTCAACATCATGCATCATCTTTCTCTTGGATAAAGGTGTCTTGCCCTGGTACAGCATTGGGGACTGGGTAAGTGTCAGAAGAGCACTTGTTGACAGGGGATTTTTCAGTACTTTGTTGGGCGGTGTAAAACCTGAATTACTGAAGACGTCATCATCACATGAACTTTGCTGTGATGAACTTCGATTTGAGGATAACCTTTGGCATGGACTGCTTATTTCTATTGTATGCATCAACTGATTTATCTCACTGACCAGATTATGCTCCTTACTTATGATGCACTGCCTCTCAGATTGTGGAGTCTCTTCAGTGGGTGATAGAAATCCTAGGCTTTTTTTTCTTGAATTAAGTCTAAATGCCCCAGTGTCGCCTGTCCCTTGACACTGCAGCACGAGAGATTTCTCCTGAAGTTTTGAAACCCCTTCAAGTTCAAAATCTTCCAAAGATGAAGATTTTCTGACCTCCTGCTTTGAAAGAACTCCACCAACATCTTCCTCAATTGAATGAAGATCGGCATATTCGGTATATATCGTCATATAACATCTGGGGATCTACCTTTTGGCCACCCCATCCTAGTATATATTAGACCATAAACACAAGACAGTTGAAACTGAATTATTTACACAAAACACCACACCACAATTGGCTCATTCTACACACATACAATCCAACAATCAGCCTTCAACAAACACATGCACAATATGTATTCCTGCCCCTCTTGTCATCTGGTATTCCACTTATGGAGACGCCAGAGGCAAGTCACAAGCAAACACGGTACAAGTGTGTCATTACATTTGCTTTTGCAGGGCGTTTTTCTCATGCAAGAGCTCTGACAAGCAGGACTCTGCGCATGTCGTGTTTGGAAGAGGGCCCCCTCTGCCCTCCCTCCTTCCCACTGGGCCCTGTATTTAAAAAATGCCCTGGAACCAGTTGTCTGATTGTTGTTTATAAAAGCACCAATTTTTATTGAAATCTGCACTTTTTGCAGTGCGTTAGGAATCTGGAGTGACCCTTCAACAGGTAGCCTAGATGGAGATACCCAGTTGCAGGATAAAGAGGTATGGATTCCTACATGTTATTTTATCTTTATTTATGTTTTGATAAGTAAACATAATGTTAAAAATCCTGAGTTGTGTCAGCTCCCCTTTAATATTGCGTGAAGTTTCTATCGTGATTTTCTTTCTTCTATAATGGGGTCATTATAATGGGTGATATGCTTTTGAAGTGTTAGACCATTTAATAGCACTAACTGTATTATGGGTATTAACATTTATTAACTAAAACCCTGGATTCCTAGTGTGGAATGGTCTCTAACAACGTCCCTTTTGATCAGCACAGGGGGATTGTTCTGTTTTGTTAAGGGTACACTATAGACACCAATACCACTCCATCTTTTATTTAACTGATATTTTTTTTTTTTATTACATTATCAGTACTGTTGTCTGTTTGTAAGAAAAAATTAATTATCATTACATCTAGTGACATGTCTCAGTCAGGATGGTTAAAAACTCAATATAAACAGAGCTTTGAGCTGACTGGTAAGGCCATAAAATTTAGACATGATTACAGGAATGCTGTTAAATTACACAGCATCACCATTTAAAAGAATAGCAATATTCTTTCCATTAACCCTTCAGTAAAAGCTCTGTATTAAAATGGGTAATAAAAGATGAAAGTATTATGTGTTAAAATTAGGTTGGATGTTTGTTTTTAAAATTATTAGAGGTCATTTAGAATTTTTTCAAATTATAGTATATATTAAATAAAAGTGAACAAAATACAGTAAGAACAATTTTGGGAAAAAAAACTATTATTTATTTTATTTTGCAAATGTGCACAAATTATTTGGGGCTGTTAGAAACATCTCTAAAAACTGCATACACGTGATTCTAGTAGAGATGGTTTTAAACATTCCATAACTAGGACAAACATTAAATAGGATCAGTGGGCAGTTATTTAAAAAAAAAAAACTCCAAGCGCCATACTGATGTTATGGTGCCCTGGCACCTCTCCATTGCAAGTAGTAAAACAACTCCACTACCTCAGCCAGAGAGCTGGAAAGCTACGCTGCAGAGCTTGCTTACTGGCTGAGAGCACCAGCTGATCTCTCTCGCCAATGAGCTGAAACCTGAATCTCAGGATTACCTCAAACAGAAAACCTCTGGTTGTCAAGCTGAAGTAGTGGATGCAGGGAGTTGGTCATGGTGAACTCCAGGTAAGAAGTCAAACCGTTCTAAAATGTTTTTGGGGGGGAAGGCACCTGGGCACTGTAGATGGCATTATGTAGCGGTTATGGTGTTCAGAGTGTTCCTTTAAACATTTTTAGTTCCTGCCCCATGAATATAGGCTGTTATTCTATTATTGATATTTTACTTTGTATACTATGAGGGATTCTCATCCAGTTACTAACACCTGCTATATTGAGATTCCTATTTTTTTGCAATGAGTGATGACGATAAGATGTATGGATGTATGGAGAGAAACAGTTGCTTCTAAGGAGGATCTATGAGTAAAGCTTAAAATGTGCTTTAATATTTGATAGCACTAGATGGCGCTCTTGTTGAAGCAGAATAAATACATTTCTGAGTTACAATCTAAATGTAAAGTATTTATTGTATATATTAAAAAGAAATCAGAGCATTACATCGTCATTGCTTGTCATTTTGCTGATGCCAACTCATAAACACTGCTAAATAAAACTTGCTTACCCTAATGCAATATATATTCTATCATTAATATACTATGTTAGCATTTTACATGCAAGGATTTTTAAATTACAGCTCATCGATGTATCAAGAAATTATCCAACATCAAAGACAAATACCATGTCACCTCCATAAATCTATTTCTTGTTGTACTCATCTGTAATTATTTTTTTTCCTTTTTATGTGTTGATCACATCTGGGGCATAGTTAAATTATTTATTTCAAATTAGTTTTTTGCTTTTTTTAAAAGACACAAATATATAAGACGGAAAAGTTGAGCGGACACCTGGATGTTTGGGTCCGGCGGGTTTGGCTGAACTTTGAAAAAAAAGTCCAGGTTTGGGTTCGAACTTGACCCCGAACCCCACTGAAGTCAATGGGGAACCAAACTTTTGGCCACAAAAATGCCTCTAAAAAAGTCCTGGAAAGGGCTAGAGGGCTACAAAAGGAAGTAAAATGGGGGTAAGAGTAGGACGGGGGGTAAGAATAGATTTTCCTGGCATCTTACCTATTTTTAACCTGAAGACCGGTTAACTACTCTACTCTCAAGCACATCCTAGGTGGGGATTATACCACTAACGCTGTCATCAACGCTGTCATCATCTGAGCAGTGAGTGCTCCACGCTTGTGAGTAATATTCTGCTTATTTTATTTATTTGTATTATATTACTGAGAGCACTATTTGTGGCTATCTCTTCCTCTCTGAGCACCTAGATTACCACCTACTGTGAAAAACTACGACCATCATATCCCATAAGTGGGGATTATACCACTGTATACGATATTCACTAGAGATGGTCATAGCTCTTGTTCATGTGAGTGCAATATTTTTATTTCTTAAGTGTTGTTCATCCAACCCAGACATATTGCACTATCAGGTCGCTCTGTCTTTTCTTTTTCCACATACGGAGACTGAAAAGACCCAGACCCTTCACACACCCCAAGAATAAAGAATCAAGAAGCCACAGCTGGATTGTTTTATTTATTTATCTTACTTAGAGACTATTTTTTATTTTTTATATCTTATTTTATTGGGACACAATTCTAGTACTTTTCTCTGTGGCGCAGCCCTTCTCCATTTGTTTTATTTTCTGTATGTTATTCTGAAGGGTTGAGAGGGATCTCCTTCTTAGGGTTGCTGCCTTAATTTACTGTTGTTATTTAGCGCTGACACATTTTGTTTTTTATTTAGCAGTTTAGCAACAAAACAATTCGAATTTTTACAACTGCGCTGTAAGCGCACTATTAGACGTTTCTATTTGACTATCAGATATGAAGAGCCGGCCCCAAAATGTACTGTTTAGCACCCAGAAAATTAGAATGTTTACAACTGCGCTATAAGCCCACTATTAGACGGTTCTATTTGACTCTCAGATATGAAGAGCTGACCCCAAAATGTACTATTTAGCAGTTTAGCACCCAGAATGTTAGAATGTTTACAACTGCGCTGTAAGCGCACTATTAGACGCTTCTATTTGACTCTCAGATATGAAGAGCAGGCCCCAAAATGTACTATTTAGCATTTTGGCAGCAAAAAAATTAGAATGTTTACAACTGCGCTGTAAGCGCACTAGTAGACGCTTCTATTTGACTCTCAGATATGAAGAGCACGCCCAAAATGTACTATTTAGCAGATTAGCACCCAGAAAATACAAATTTTTACAACTGCGCTGTAAGCGCACTATTTGACGCTTCTATTTGACTCTCAGATATGAAGAGCACCCCACTGTCACGGTAGTGTACCCCAACACGCAAGGTTTAGTCCAACAAGAGACAAGATAAAGCAGATAAGTCTTACCTGGCCTTTGAATGGCTGGACTCAACGTAGTACAGAGAAGTGACAGAGTCAGGAATGAGCCGAGGTCAAGGGAGACAGCGAAAACAAGAACTAGCCAAGGTCTAATACCCTAGTGTTTAATTTGACACGCCCCCAAAACGTGAGTGTATGGGGAATGTGGAATGACATGGGCCAATGGGAGACCGTTTCACATTTCGGCTCCCACTGTCCCTTTTCGGCTCCCACTGTCCGTCTCGAGCGCGCTCTTAGAGCCAGGCGGGGCACGTGACTGCGTCCCGCCTTCCTGATAACTCCGTCGGACGAGCCGCAGGCGGCTCGCGCAGATGCAGGACCACGCGCGGCGGGAACAGAGGACCTCGGCCGGCCCCCGGAGAGGGTAAAATTTACTTTTTAGCACCCAAAAAATTTTACGTTTTCAAACTGCAATGTGACAGCAGTATTTGACCCTTCTATTTGACTCTCAGATATGAAGTGCACCCCACTAATGTACTATTTAGCACCCAAAAATATTGACTTTTTAAAACTCTGATGTAACCGCAGTATTTGACGCTTCTATTTGACTCACAGATATGAAGTGCACCCCACTAATGTACTAGTTTTCAGCGCTACGCGAATCCAGCTTATGTATAGAGGCTGGGTCACATGCTGCACTGGCCAATCACAGTCATGCCATTAGTAGGCATGGCTGTGATGGCTTCTAAGGGCACACGAGTCAAACGCTTGTTGATTGGCTGCCTGCA